TCAGGCGTGTTGGGAGCTCCACCATGTCACCTGGGTTGCACAGCATGATGGTTCTGTTCATAAAGGTACTATGCATGACATTTTCTTTCTAGGTACTCTGACACACTGAAGGGACCACGGATGTTTCAGGGAAGACACATGGTCATTTTGGTTTTACTGATGTCTATTCCGAATAGGGTTCTTTAAGTCAAACCCTATGTCCAGCTCAAGGTACTGCTCAAAGTGTATACACACCCTTAAACTATACACACACACACACACACACACACACACACACACACATACACACACACATACACACACACTTACAACCTTCCTTAACATTTTGTATATTTGGATTTTTCGTTTCATGAGCAAAGAAAACAACTTTTAAAAACTAGCACAGGGCATGAAGGAGACCAAACTAAAACATTGTCACATACATGTAACACATTTGCTCAAATACTGATTCCTTGGTTTTACAGAGAAGTGATTGAAGCAACATAGAAGAGGCCTGCTCTAGAAGGCATAGCTCAGCAAAATTTCCAGCTACATCTTATGCACACTGAAGCATAAAACCAGCAAAGTAGTCTAAAACTAAGCATGGTATAATTGATGAAGAATAATACAAATAGGTAATAAATCTGAACAAAAATCCAACTAATTAATGAAGGGCTGAGAAATGCTTTTAACGTGCCTGGCACACTGAGCACTGCTAATAAGGCTGACTTGGGGATAACAAGACACATGTCTGATCATGCATGTGTGCGAACATACATATATGCATGTGTTTTAAAGATAGCAATTATGTAGTGCTTGTATGGCAAAGTAGTTATTGTAAGCAGCTTCAGTGCCACCCTCCTGCTTCCAAATAGGGAACAATGTATGTATTTTCCTCATACTTCACAAACTCTATTTTTTATACACACAAACACGTCAACATTCTTCATCGTAAAGGCACAAGAAATTGAAATGTATGATTATTCAAGTCAATATACTCTCCTGGACTTGAGCCTGAGACCCTGGCTCTGTACAAGAAATTCTCTAAGGGCAGAGATTCCTCCTGTGTCAGGGAAGAGTGAAGTGGATCTGGTGCAGCAGGGAGCACAGCCTGAACAAACACTGAGGTTCAGGTTACAAAGCTGGCACAAGTTCAAGGCTATAGTCCACAGCAGTACCTTACAGGTATCCACAACAGTGAAAGGTCCTGCAGGGTCAGGATCTTTAACAAGCCCCCGTTAGTGCTGAAGCTGCTTGTCTGGAGGATATGGGTGGTGGTGGTCGAGCAGGCCTTTCATCCCAGCACTCAGAATGTCCTCAGGACTTTGCAGAAAGGAATCAAGAAACCTGAGCTCAGCGACAGCTCTCCCAGGTAGAGGCTCAGTGAGAGCTCTCCCAGGAGGAGGCTCTAGCAGGACAGCCAGGCACAGCACTGGTGCTGTACAATGGTGCAGAGTGAAAGGCTCAGGACGATGGAACTGAAAGGGAAGAATCTTTCTAAAGAGATTGTTAAGTGCCTTTTATGAAATAATACATGATCTCACTGCTGTAGGACTCTGTACACTACAGGCCACATGGAATCACTACTGTATGAGTTGGTGTACACTACAGATCACATGGAATCACTACTGTATGAGTTGGTGTACACTATAGATCACATGGA